AAAACCTACTTTTTTTTTTGGCCCAAAGGGGACATGAGGCCTGCTGTGTTATAGACCAAGGGACGCAAGACCTACTGTGTTATGGACCAAGGGACACAAGACCTACTATATTATGAACCAAGGGACACAAGACCTAATGAGTTATGGACCAAGGGACACGAGACTTACTGTGTTATGGACCAAAGGACACGAGACCTGTTATGTTATGGATCAATGGACACGAGACCTACTGTGTTATGGAACAAGGGAAACAAGACCTGCTGTGTTATGGATCATGGATCAAGGGACACAAGAGCTACTGTGTTGTGGACCAAGGGACACGAAACCTGCTGTGTTATGGACCAAGGGTTACAAGATCTGTTGTGTTATGGACCAAGGGACACAAAACCTACTGTGGTATGGACCAAGGGACACAAGACCTGCTGTGTTATAGATCAAGGTACACAAGACCTACTGTGTTATGGACCAAGGGACACGAGACCTACTATGTTATTGACCAAGGGACACAAGACCTACTGTGTTATGGATCAAGGGACACGAGACCTACTGTGTTATAGATCAAGGGACACGAGACCTACTGTGTTATGGACGAAGGAACACGAGACCTGCTGTGTTATGGACCAAGGACACGAGTCCCTACTATGTTATGGACCAAGGACACTAGACCTACTGTGTTATGGTCCAAGGGACACAAGACCTTTTGTGTTATGGACCAAGGGACACGAGGCCTACTGTGTTATGGACCAAGGGACATGAGACCTACTGTGTTATGGACCAAGGGACACGAGACCTACTTTGTTATGGACCAAGGGACACGAAACCTACTGTGTTATGGACCAAGGGACACAGGCTCTGCTAACTCTACTACGGAACTGTGAACACGTCACCTGATTACTGTGCTCTGGAACTGTGAACGCAAAACGTGATAACTGTGCACCCGTGAAGAAGATCGAATGACAGGTTTGTCTCTAAGATATAAAACCCGCCTAATTAACCCTCCCCAGTTTGATCAATGTCACCTTCACCGTAGGAACGCCATGACTCTTCACGTCACTATGCTCTCTCTATATACTCATGTACTTTGCTCAGGTCACCCACCACCAAAGCTTCTCATGTCAAACACTGCAAGAAGGTCATCAAAGTCCCTCTGTATAAGATGTTGGTTGAGGTCACCAACGATTATAATATTTTGACATGTGTTGGAGAAGAAGGGAGTCCACATTTTCCATCAAGAAGTTTATGGGGTCTGCATGTTGCCAGTGAGGTCTGTACATTGTGCATGCTAGTACAAAGGTATTAGTATTTATGCATAGCTTGAAGATCATTTCTAGATGAGTAGGGACGGCAACAATTTTAGAGAAGCACACAGCAGTATTTCCTCTTTGCCCGTACCTGTCTCTTCTCATCCAGGAGGTGTAGCCAGCAATTCTTGGCAAATTTTCCAGAGAACTCTCGTCCAAAATTATTTCAACAACAGCTTTCATGTCGGGAAATCGAGTGTTCACGAAACTGTGCGTAATGGTAATGAATCCTCTAATGTTGGCCGACAAGATACTGATAGACTGACTCCTCATGACTGTGTTCAGTTTGAGGTGGTGGGTGTGTAAGGTGTGTAAGGCCTCCCCCCATGAGACAGGTAGGACACCGGGGCAGCTGCTGGGATATAAGTCTGTGGTCATGTATAAGGCACAAAACAACATGCCGGACTGATATAGGAGTAGCTGGGTGGGTGACGTGTGAGTGTGTTCACCAGTTCAGAGATCCTGCTGGTTTGTTCCGAGAATTGATCTCTAAACAGTTAATCTTGTCTGTCAAGTTCCTTTTTCTTCCGACACTGGTCCTCATGATGTCCCCTCTTGTGGTAGTAATTGCACCTGGAATCTCGCAGGCAGTTGTTATTGGTGTGCCCCTTCCGGTGACAGCGAGAGTACTGCCTAGTGCCTGAGTGGAATGGTCCTCCTATTTGTTGCACCTCTTTTGTTCCTCTTTTGATTAAGCAGCTGATTTACCTGTAGATTCTGCCGCTGGTGAGAATGATGATTGTGTATCTGATGAGTGTTTTTCTAGGACTGTGTTGATGCAAGGTGAGACGGTTGTAGCTGTTCTCTTCCTCTTCCACGTCCTCTGCCACTCCCCAGAACGTATTTTGGCGCAGCACTTGTTCAGGTGCAATGTTGGTTCCCTGATTATTAACTGCAACAATCTCTGGTGGAGAAAATCCTGACTCAGTATTGGTAGATGGAGCACTGGTGCCAAACGTTGGAGTAGTGTTGGCAGGTGTGCTGACAGGTGATGTGTCAGTGATGGTATGTGCGCTCTCTGGTGTGCTGGCAGATGATGAAGCAGTGATGTCAGTATTGATCCTAAGCTTATTTTGTTGCTGGGAAGAGGATCTGTTCTTTCTGTGGTGGTCAAAGGAACTGTGTTGGAATTTCCAAGTGTAGTGTTTTGAGCTCTGACTATATGAGCAGCCTTAGCGGTGACAGAATTCCACCAGTTATTTACTTCTGAAGTGACCTCAGTGTGGGACTTCCAGTCCTTGTCAAAAGTGTCACCATCAGCTGAGCAGCTTATGTCATTTGCTCTGGTCTTCTGCAATAGCTTGAAGGATATCTAATGATTTGAGGAGCTCATGAAGTGCTTCCCTGTGATGGATTATCTTAGCTCATCTTTACAACACAGAGAATAACGGCAGTCTTGATTATTGGAGAGGAGTCCTTGAGGTACCTCTGAACCTTCCTCTTGTAGCTCCTGGCTCGTTTCCATATATATCACGAGATTTTGGATATCTTTCAATCTCCTGAGCTGTTCTACCTGGCTACAACAAAATTCTTCTTCTTCTGGAATGCAATCTGTGTGACAGTAATTGGAGGAAGTAGGCTCTTTACATTTATAAATAATAATTATATTAATAAAAATAGTAATAACAGTATCTTTATTTCTACAAATACAAGTACAAGGTATACAGGCCTAGCTGATATCAATGACATACTGCAATATAGAAAGTCGCTTGTTATGCAGAGCATATCGGGCAAATTAGGTCAGTTTTGTCCCGGGATGCGACCCACACCAGTCGACTAACACCCAGGTACCCAATTTACTGATGGGTGAACATAAACAACCGGTGTAAAGAAACACGCCCAATAATTCCACTCCTTTGCCGGGAATGGAACCCCGACCCTCACCGTGTTACCTGGAGGTTACCTGGAAGTTATTCCGGGGATCAACGCCCCCGCGGCCCGGTCCATGACCAGGCCTCCCGATGGATCAGGGCCTGATCAACTAGGCTGTTACTGCTGGCCGCACGCAGTCCGACGTACGAGCCACAGCCCGGCTGATCCGGCACCGACTTTAGGTATCTGTCCAGCTCTCTCTTGAAGGCAGCCAGGGGTTTATTGGCAATTCCCCTAATGCTTGATGGGAGGCTGTTGAACAGTTTTGGGCCCCGGACACTTATGGTGTTTTCCCTTAGTGTACCAATGGCGCCACTACTTTTTATTGGCGGCATTTTGCATCGCCTGCCCAGTCTTTTACTTTCGTAGGGAGTGATTTCTGTGTGCAGATTTGGGACCATTCCTTCCAAGATTTTCCAAGTGTAGATTATGATATATCTCTCCCTCCTGCGTTCCAACGAGTACAAGTCAAGTGCTTCCAAGCGTTCCCAGTAGTTAAGGTGCTTGACAGAACTTATACGTGCAAGAGTTTTAGCCACCAGGTCACTTTTGTCTCTTGTAGTATACCCACAAACACTGCACTAGCCACTGGAACAATAGCCAGATAGCGAGGATATTCTTGCTATTTTGCTATGTCAAATCGTCACAGAGGAAGTTTTGCAAGTTTACAGTGAATTTCTCAGAAGAGAGAGTGGTGAGTTGAGGAGTGGTGGTATTGTGGGAGTGGCCTGGTGGTAAAAGCTCTCGCTTAACGTGGTAAGGGTCCGGGTTCTATTCCCGGCGAAGGGGTGGAAACATTGGACGTGTTTCCTTTCACCGGTTGTCTGTGTTCACCCATAAGTATAAAATGGGTACCTGGGTGTTAGTCGACTGGTGTCAGTCGCATCCTTTCAACGGCCGGTGCGTGAAGGAAGATTTATATATATATATATATATATATATATAATATATATATATAATATATATATATATATATATATATATATATACACCAAGTAAGACAACCAGTAAATTTATCATGAGATATAAATATGTTATATTTGAGAATAATCTATAACGAAATCTACTTAAAATAACATCAAAGACATTTTGATTTGCAAGGATTTTATTAATTTAAATTCTCAGAAAGATAAAAACCTCGTGATATATATTCCAAGTTATTAGATACAAATCTAATAATTCTTACTTATTTCATAATCAACGAATGTTTTGAAAAGGATGCAAGGAAAATGTATGAAATCAGCAGTCAGCAATGTTTATTATGCATAAATAGATTAACATTACGTAAGCAGTGAAAAATAGTCATTCGTGGCTATGAATAAACTAAAGAGAGGACGAGGGTCTCGAACCGCGGACCGTGAACTGACAGTCCAACGCTCCACCGTCTAGGCTAACCCGGGCTTCTAATAGGAAGGATCCGGAACTAATGTTTATTATATTATATTCCAATGACATCAACTGTAGCTCAACCGAACTCCTTCCCTCAGCCCAGGAGCTTTAACAGTAGATCTACGAGCCCGTAGTCCACCCTTCTGTTTATACAGTTACACTTGTTTATTACACCTTAATTTGCGTCCATTCATATATATATTTACAAAAGAATGAAGTTAACTCCTCATTCATTATTGCGTAGAATCAGAGACAGTCAAGTGCCAAAAAGCAAAATTTAATTATAACATTTTAAAACTGAGTTCCATAGGAAGTGGATGGCGCAGCTGGAACACTATATCCGTTGCTGACTCCATTCCCATTCCTACCAATGCCATTAGCACCATTCCCGTTCCTACCATTTCCGTTGGATCCATAACGATTTGCGCCATTTCCATTTCTTCGGTTGCCATTGCCATTTGCCCTATTACCATTATTATAACCATTACCAACTCCATTAAAAATACTGTTAGCAATGGGGCCATAACCATAGCCTGCACTGGGGACGACACCAATCTGTTCGTTGACGGAATAGAAGTTCTCAGCCTGAGAACAGTCTACGTTGAACCACCAGTCACACACCAGGTACTGCTGGTTGAAGATGGTACCGTTGGGGCACAGGAATGAGTCCTTCTGACGTCTGAGGGCACGGTCCTGGCAAATATGGAATACCTGGCAGCTGGCTTCAGGGTCAGTGTCAGCGTAATAACCAGGCACTGCCTGGTCATCACAAGAGAAGCCAGTGTCTGGTGGAGAAGCCAAGACTGGGTAATCTTCACCTGGGACGCCACCTCCGGGGATGTTCTCCTGCAGAGCAACCAGCTCCGGATCTAGTCCATAAGAACCTGTTGGTGGACCATACCTGTTACTTGGGGGAGCTCCATATCCATTGCTTGGAGTGCACCTGCGAACCCATTGCCTGAAGAGGGTCCAAATCCATTGCCAAAGGGGGCACCATATCCATTATTTGGAGAAGCTCCGAAGCCATTGCTTCCTGGAGGTGTATAACCATTACTCGGGGCTCCATTTGAGGCACCAAACCCATTACCGAAACCTCCATTTGGGGCTCCGTAACTTGAAGGAGGACGTTGGTCAGCGGTGGTTACTCCCAGCAGAGCTAGAATATTAATATAATCAAACTAAGTGCTGAACCCGAAAGGGATCATACAACATGAATAGCAGAGCTAAAGAAGAGATAAATCTTAGATACAACATTTTCAGGTGATAATATTCTTGCAAAGTATCAAATTATCACCATCCTTTAACAACAGAATATATCAGACATCATCTTTACGCTGGAAGTCAGGCTGTATTTACCAATAAACAGGAGAACCTTCATGGTTGCCGTCCAGCAAAACAGTTGAGTTACAAAGAATAGTAATAAGGATCTTCGGTCAGCAAGAGGCAGGAGGTGCTGAAGTGTGATGCTGGAGGATGAGTTTGTGTTGCTTTTATACCCAGGCTGTCAGCAAGCTCCTCCCACCCACCTTGCTCTCTTTCACTACCTGGCCCACCCATCTCCCTCTCACTCTTGCTCACGATCTGTCTCCTGGAAGGCCACTACAGTGGATATTACTGTGTGCATTACCTCGCAGGCTGTACCTAAAGATATTTTCCAAGTACATAATGAAAAAAAATAATGTGTGAAATTAAAAAAAAAATATTAAAGTTGAAGTAGCAGAAAGAATATAATGCACTCAAGGTGGTGTCATTATATATCTTACAATTCAAATAAAAACAGAATTTTTGAATGATAATCCAATTAAATGATATTCTATACAATAATTAATGATGAAAATGAATTTTCAGGTCTCAGTTACAAAACATTTACTAAGCCTGGCAAGACGAGCCAGACATAATTTATCCCAAGGCTCATAGGTGCGAGTCTCCTCCGGCTTGAGATAAATGTAAATATTTCACGTGTTCTGTGAAGTCTAAGCATTCTAATATCTTTCGTTGGTCGATGCATATCCGAGATGAGATAAAAAAAGTTATCACCTGCCTGATGCTGGCTGCTTGGATCCAACGCCTAGCCTGACTGGGCGCCAAAATATTGCTCAGTCTGGCAAGATGCGTATAAAACTGCGTATTTTGTCCCAAAGCTCGGAGGTTCGACTTTCCTGCGGCCTAAGTTCGAGAGCAGTTCCAAAGTCTTTTTCTCTTTATTTCAGCTGGCTTCAACAAAACTTCAATTCTTTATTTGGCGAGCATGAAATCACCTCATCAGAGAGGGTTCAGCAGGGTAACCCACTCGCTCCATTTTTCTTCTGCATGGCGGTAAGAGAACTAACTTCCAGCCTGCGCAGAGAACTCAGTATCTGGTACTTGGATGATGGCACTCTGGCAGGTATGGAAGAATACCTGCTAGAGGACCTACAACTGGTGTAGTCAAAGAGAGAAGCCTAAGGACTCATTCTCAATCCCTCCAAGTGTGAAATCATCAAAAGAAAACAAGAAATAATTACAATGGCATGAACAATCCTTCCCGAACCTCAACTACCACCCCGTCCAAGAGCATCTTACTGGGAGCACCGCTGGGTCGTCGGGCCATCGCCACAGTCTTCGAGGACAGACTGAATGAATTGAGCAGGATGGAGGAGAGAATAAGTGATCCAGATGTCCATGACGCCCTGTATCTGCTCACGAGGTGTCTAACTCTGCCAAAACTAACTTACTTCTTCCGGTGCACCCTCCTTGGACAACCCAACACTCAGTGAATACGACGCATTCCGGAGATTTATCGTTAGGAAGGCACTGAATCTGTCACTGGAAGATCACCAGTGGGATCAAACAACTCTTCCGGTATGACTGGGAGCTGTAGGGGTGCACAAGGCAACGCAGGTGGCATTACCTGTATTTCTGTTCTTGTGTATGGCTCCCAGTGAACTAGTAAAGTTTGTCTCCGAACACTTGAGAGGTGCTGTAGGAGCTCAAGACCCAAAGTTCATCGAAGCAGCCACGCAGACTCTTCAAGCAGACCAGGGCTACCCAGAGAGCACAAACAGTCCCACTGGGCAGAACCGATCGTGGAAAAAATCTTTAACATACTGCTCAACAACGACACAGAAAAGGACAAAGCTCGTCTCCTATCAGTGAGAAGCACCACGTTCAGGGAATTTCCTTTCAGCTGTTCCTAATTCCTCATTGGGCACTCGGCTACACCCGCAGGCCATTCGGATTGGTGTAGCTCTTCGCTTAGCCACGCCCCATACTTACCGAACATAGGTGCATTTACTGCAGGGCGTCAGCTGATCAATTTGGACTACATGGTGTCGTCTGTTATATGCCAGAAGGGAAGTCTCGCCACAACCAGTTGCCCAGCAGAACGGGAACCTCAGGTACAGACATCTGACAAAACCCAAAAGTGTCTAGATGGAGTCACCATGCTACCCTGGAAAGATGGTAATCAGATTGTGTTGGCTGACACATACTTGCCATACTCTGAAGCCAGAGTGGGTGGGGCAGCCAGTTTCAGGGAGACCCAGAAGATCAACAAATACAGAGGGCTGCCACCATGCTATAACTTTGTCCCAGTAGCGTCGTAAACTCTCGGAGCATGTGTTGTTGCTATCCAGAAGGGAAAATGCCTGCAGCATTCTGCGCACGCAGTCCACCGCCGGGGAGCTGGATGAAGTATTCGAGATGTAGGCTCTGAGATGTTATTTATGTAGTTCTTCCCATGGTATTTTTGTTATTGTATTTTGCTTAAAAAAAAAAGACAGAATATTGGGGGTATTAGGAGAAGTATGTTTATTCTCTTCTCTCAGGATGAAAGTCCCAGTACAATTCTAGAGGTGGTACCTCCTTACATTTTATATACATATATATATGTCGTGCCGAATAGACAAAATTGGTCAATTATCAAGAACTCATTTAAAATTAAATCCTTTCTAAAATTTTCTCTTATACATTTAAAGATATTAATCAATAACAACACTGCGCTAGCCAAGGATTCAAACCCATGTTGTACTGGCCCGCCATTGTGAGCGAGAACCACATGACGCCTTAACCCACAGGACCACCCAATCCTACAAGAACCAAGCACCCATCCAAGCTACGTGTGTCATTCTTGGTCCGAGGACATACAGAGTGGTGGGCCAATACAACATGGGTTCGAATCCTTGGCTAGTACAGTGTTGTTATTGATCAGTACCACTCGTTTGTGGTTACAATAATATTTAAAGATATATTTTTTCATATATGTTAATGTAAAAATTAACAATTTTGTACCAAAAGAACATTAGATAACTTACCTAACCTTATTATAACAAGCGTAATTTAATTTAGCCTAATCCAACTAAATATATTTTAGATAAGTTTACAATAATTTAATAATAAACAAACACAATGAAATATTTTTTTCGTTAGGCACAGAATGATTTTTGCGAAATTATTGCATACACAAATTTTAGCTTGCCTTATTCGGAAAGAAGAGCGTTGCTATTTCAGCCAAAATCGCAAGTTTTACATATTCAGCACGACATATATGTACATACATGTAAAAAACCACAGGGGGAGTTAATGACAGCTCTAGGTCTTTCGTATTGCAATCAACACATCATCAGGAGCTTGCAAAGCAGGTTTCTCTGGGATCCTTGGTTTCAGTATTGAGTTTGTTACTCTCCTCTTTCATAAACTTCAGTGCACACTTGCCCCACGCTCCGAGGGTATCCCAACCTATTGGGATGAAGTTATAACAGTGTCAGCCGCCGTATTTGTTGATTTTCTGGGTCTCCATGAAGCTGGCTCCAGAATAAAATAAATGTCGATCGTTTTATTGAAACAAACTCAGCAACAATAAGACATAGACAAAGAATTTAGTATCCTCAGTCACTCCAAGAATTTACCAAATCTTACAACGACTATCAACAAAAATATATAGGTCGGACAAGAAGAGATCTACTAACGCGAATCATTGAAAACAAGAAACGTCATAAAAAGAACACCTAAGAAACCCACATGAAAAGGAAAATCACACTATCAGTTACAAAAGAGCCTTCAAAATACACCCTATAAAAAGAGTAGATTCTAGCACAGTATGAAGCAATTCACTGACTACCAAAGTCTAAAAATTCCTAAGCACTTCGACACATGAGAAGTACAGTACTTCACCTATTTCCAGCATATGTAAATTGTACCCAAATAGCATACTGCCGATAATAGTGAAGAAAGGACACGTCTGCAGAAAGAGCTTTTATATGGGGCAATATTAGATGTGTTAAGATTTCCGTCAAGTCATACTGAATATACAAATTACACACACACATATATTTACACTGGTAGGAGAACAGGTGAGGTGAGTGAATCATGTGTCTGTGAAGTACACTGAGGGAGGTACACTGGACTACTAGGCTGGTATGTTCCTTCATCTCAGATGAGGCACCTCACGTTCTCTGGTGCATATATTCATGTACTCCTATAAGTACATAGACTTCCCTCATTACTGTATCGGTTGTAGAGGATTTCTGTTAGATATCGAAGTAAACAGCTCACTGGGGGAGGCAAGTAATAATATTTCAGCTTCAAGACAAGTCCTCTAGTTCCCGTCCTACAAATGAGTTGCTTCTAAAACAGCATCTTACCTTTTGTATTTGTCTCCTAAGAGTTTATTTAAACATTGACCACTGTTTATTTTCTTCAAAATTTTCAGTTATTTTTGTTTATAACCTTTTTTTTTTTTTGATCAGGGAGTTATGCAGACTAATAACCAGAAACAGGCAATTGTAAATCCTCCACTCTACCGACTCGGCTTCGATGGCTTCAATAAGGAGATGTCAGACCCTCAACAAATTGGATGTGGTAGTGATACCAGGGGTCACCAAGTGTCAATTTTGACTGCTAGTCTTTACAGAAGCCTGCTAGCAATACCTGTATGGATAAGTTATTCTAGATACGAATATGTTATGCTACAGTTGGTCTGCCTATTCTAGGTTAGGCTTGGCTAAGTTCGGCTCGACTCAACTCACATCAGCTCAAAATGATGTCTAAATGAAATTTCCGACTGTTACTGCTTTTGCCTTTATCAGTAGCTGTCACGTTTATGTGTTATGTCAACAGTGCTCATGGGATGGACCGTGTCACCCTTAAGTTTGTGGCAAGTACTGCTAATTCCTTGCCTTTTATCAAATATTTGTAAGTATTTGCTAAACTTGACTACTATCAGATGCAAAGATTTAATTGATAATCAATATATTTAATGAGAAGAGATGGATGGCATACGGAAAACTACGATTATTTTTTTTATCAGTTTACACATAAATTTCTATTATTAATATATACAATACTTTGTTATATTTAAGATAAAGCCATAACACTACGTCTTTTACCTAGACACTAAAATCAAAGACATTTTGGCACTTGAAGTAATTATTAGAAAAATATGCAAACCTCGTGGTTCATACAATGTTTTTTACATAATAATCAAATATTTCACATAAATACAGTCATCTAGCATTTAAAAAGGGATACTTGTAAAAAATCTATGAATTCAACTTACATGAATTTTTATTATATAATATATAGACAAACGTTACATATGTACCGAAAAATAATTATCTATATAAATATTTACAGCACAAAATTAACTCCTCGTTCATTGTTGAGTAGACTCATTGTGGCAGAAACCAAAAAGTTAAGTATGGTATTTTAAAACTGAGTTCCATAGGCAGTGGAGGGAGCAGCTGGAGCACTATACCCATTGCTGACTCCATTCCCATTCCTTCTATAACCATTGGCACCATTGCCATTCCTACCATTTCCACTGGAGCCATAACGACTTGCTCCATTCCCATTTCTTCTCTTACCATTGCCATTGGACCTATTACCATTATTATACCTGTTACCATTGCCATTGGGCCTATTACCATTATTATACCTGTTACCATTTCCATTACCGTTTCCATTAAAAATACTGTTAGCAATAGGACCATAACCATAGCCAGCACTGGGGACGACGCCGATTTGTTCGTTGACAGAGTAGAAGTTCTCAGCCTGAGAACAGTCTACGTTGAACCACCAGTCACACACCAGGTACTGCTGATTGAAGATGGTACCATTGGGGCACAGGAATGAGTCCTTCTGGCGTCTGACGGCACGGTCCTGACAAATGTGGAACACCTGGCAGCTGGCATCAGGGGCGGTGTCAGCGTAATAACCAGCCACGGCCTGGTCATCACAAGAGAAGCCAGTGTCTGGTGGAGAAGACAAGACTGGGTAGTCTCACCGGGACGCCACCTCCGGGGATGTTCTCCTGCAGAGCAAGCAGCTCCGGATCTAGTCCATAAGAACCTGTTGGGGGACCATACCTGTTACTTGGGGGAGCTCCATATCCATTACTTGGGGGAGCTCCATATCCATTACTTGGGGGAGCTCCATATCCATTACTTGGGGGAGCTCCATATCCATTGCTTGGTGCACCTGCGAACCCATTGCCAAAGGGTGCCCCATTTCCATTACTTGCAAAAGCTCCGAAGCCATTATTTCCTGGAGCTGTGTAACCATTACTTGGGGCTCCATTTGAGGCACCAAAGCCATTACCAAAACCCCCATTTGGAGCTCCATAACTTGAGGGAGGACGTTGGTCAGCGGTGGTTATACCCAACAGAGCTGTAGAAGAGGTAAATTTTAGTTGAAACAGTTTGTGATGGTAATTTTCTTGCGAAATATTGTAATATCTTCATTCTTTATTAACATAGTATACTAAACATCATCTTTATACTTTACATTGATGAATAAGATGCATGTGCAACACTTGGATAACTTTATTACTGAAACAGTTCGCCTTCGCAACAGGCTTCTTGAAACGAGTGTAGGTGAATGTAACATTTGAAAATAATAGAAGTAGTAATTATGAGGTTACCTGTCCCTTGGCCTTGGTAGGAGGTGGTCACGCTTGAGGGACTGACCACCTCCTACAAAGGCTGAGGGACTGAACACCTCAAACCTACTTCTTCGACTGTCTCGAATGTCTAATTTACCTGTATTCGCCTGAAGAATTATTATAATCGAAAAGAAGCGCTAAACCCACTAGGGTCATATAGCACCATGACCCCAGTGGGCTTAGCATTTCTTTTTGGTTATAAAAATTCTTCAGGCGAATACAGGTAAATCAGACATTCGCCTGAAGAAGATTATTAAACAGGTGAAACATTTCGGCAATAAAGATAGGCAAGTGTTGCATATGTATGTGTCTTATTCATCAAATTGTGAGTACTGTGTACCAGCAACTGTACGATACTGGAAGTTAAGTTATATTCACCAATGAACAGAAGAACCTTCATTGTTGTTAACCAGCAGAAAGTGAACTTGAAAGAGAAGACTAGAGTCACCTAAAGTATGATGCTGGAGGATGAGTTTGTGTTGCTTTTATACCCAGGCTGTCAGCAAGCTCCTCCCACCCACCTTGCTCTCTTTCACTACCTGGACCACCCATCTCCCTCTCACTCTCGCTCACGATCTGTCTTCTGCAATGTCGGATGCTCATTACTTCTCAATGTTAAGCCTACGAAGTAGGCTTAACATTGAGAAGTAATGTGTTAATGTTAACATTAACACATTTTCTATTATGAAATTTAAGTTTAAAATCAATATTTTATTATAAATAGTAGCTACCTGTTATTATATACCTCACAACAAATAAATACAGCACCATTCCATGATACATTTTGTAAGATTATCCAATAAAATAGTGTATTATCCAATAAAATAGTGTATTATTCAATAAAATAGTGAACTTTTAAAATTATATTGAATATGGATTTTCATGTCTCAAAGCTGGTGCTGGTATCCTTCCTCACCTAAGACAAAATCTTCCCAGACTGCCTCACCGGCTTTCTTATCCTCCTCCACAGCATCACAACAGTTAATAAAACAGATTCTTGCGGTCAACCTGGGTGACCCAGCTCCACCACTTTTCTCCTGATCTTCCTCATAATCTTGTAAACTTTGCACGTCAGTGACACTCCTCTGTAGAATAATACTGCCAGTTTCTCTTTCTTAAAAATTAGGACTAAATTTGCTATCCTCCACACCTCCGACAGTTGCCGTGTCAATAAACTCGATAAAGATTGTACTCACCTAGTTGTATTCACCTAGTTGAGGTTGCAGGGGTCGAGTCACAGCTCCTGGGTCCGCCTCTCCAACTGGCCGCTACTCAGTCACCCTTCCCGCTCCGTGAACTTTATCATACCTCTTCTTAAAGATATGTATAGATCCTGCCTCCACTACATCACTACCCAGGCTATTGCACTTCTTGACAACGCTGTGACTGAAGAAATACTTCCTAACATCCCTGTGATTCATCTGAGTCTTCAACTTCCAACTGTGACCCCTTGTTGCTGTGTCCCATCTCTGGAACATCCTGTCTGTCCACCTTGTCCATACCTCTCAGTATTTTATATGTCGTTATCATATCCCCCCTATCTCTCCTGTCTTCCAGTGTCGTCAGGTCGATTTCCCTTAACCTCTTCTCGTAGGACATATCCCTTAGCTCTGGGACTAGTCTTGTTGCAAATCTTTGCACTTTCTCTAGTTTTCTTACATGCTTGGGTAGGTGTGGGTTCCAAACTGGCGCTGCATACTCTAATATGGACCTAAGGTACACAGTGTACAGGGTCCTGAATGAGTCCTTATTAAGATGTCGGAATGCTGTTCTGAGGTTTGCTAGGTGCCCATATGCTGCAGCAGTTATTTGGGTGATGTGCGCCTCAGGAGATGTGCCCGGTGTTATACACACACCAAGATCCTTTTCTTTGAGTGAAGTTTGTAGGCTATGGCCCATCTAGGCTGTACTCCGTTTGTGGTCTTCTTTGCCCTTCCCCAATCTCCATGACTTTGCACTTGGGGGGATTGAACTCAAGGAGCCAGTTGCTGGACCAGGCCTGCAATCTGTCCGGATCCCTCTGTAGTTCTGCCTGGTCCTCGTCCGGTTTAATTCTTCTCATCAACTTCACATCATCTGCAAGCAGGGACACTTCGGATTCTATTCCTTCCGTCATGTCGTTCACAAATACCAGAAACAGTACCGGTCCTAGGACTGATCCCTGTGGCACCCCGCTCGTTACAGGCGCCCATTCTGACACATCGCCACGTACCATGACTCGCTGTTGTCTTCCTGACAGGTATTCCCTGATCCATTGTAGTGTCTTCCCTGTTATTCCTGCCTGGTCCTCCAGTTTCCGCACTAATCTCTTGTGTGGAACTGTGTCAAATGCCTTCTTACAGTCCAAGAAAATGCAATCTACCCACCCCCCTCTCTCTTGTCTTACAGCCGTCGCCCTGTCATAGAACTCCAGTAGGTTTGTGACACAGGATTTCCCATCCCTGAAACCGTGCTGGCTGTCACTGATAAGCTCATTTCTTTCTAGGTGCTCCATCACTCTTCTGATAATTTTCTCCATGATTTGCATACTGTACATGTTAGTGGCATTGGTCTGTAGTTTAATGCTTCGTGTCTGTCTCCTTTTTTAAAAATTGGGACTACATTTGCTGTCTTCCATGCCTCAGGTAGTCGCCCTGTTTCAATAGATGTGTTGAAGATTGTTGTTAGTTGTACACATCGCTCCTCTGTTTCCTCTCTCAGGACCCATGGAGAAAAGTTATCCGGCCCCATCGCCTTTGAGGTATCTAGCTCGCTTAGCAGCCTCTTCCCTTCTTCCTCGGTTGAATGTATTGTGTCCATCACTTGATGGTGTAGCCCACCTCTCTGCCTTTCTGGAGGCCCTTCTGTCTCCTCTGTGAGACTTCTTTGAATCTCATGTTGAGCTCCTCACATACTTCTTGGTCGTCTTTTGGGACCTCCCCTCCTTCCTTCCTCTGCCTGATTACCTGATCTTTGACTGTTTTTTCCTCCTGATGTGGCTGTACAACAGCTTTGGGTCAGATTTGGCTTTTCACATGTCATTTTCGTATTGCTGTTGGGCCTCCCTTCTCAGCTGTGCATATTTATTTCTGGCTCTACAACTGCTCTCCTTATTCCCCTGGGTCCTTTGCCTTCTATACTTCTATTCTCTAGCACACTTGGTTTTGGCCTCTCTACACCTTTGGTGTAGGGCTCATCTTGGCTTTCTTGTTATTTATGTTACCCTTGGGTACAATAGCAATTGCCTAGGGATCATAGAACTGTTAGCAAAATTCGATCCATTCTTAGTAAATCATGTATCACGCCTTGGGAATGCAGGAAGAGGCACTGTATCTTACATGTCATCTACTATATGCAATGAATTTATTGAACTGATACTAAGAAGGTCCTCAATAACATCATAGCCTGAATGTATTTAATTAGACCTTAAACAGGCTCACACCGACCCTCCCCCCACCCCCACCCCCACCCCCAAGTTGGAAGGTGTCGCTTCGCTTACCCGTAACTCAAAGGGGCTCCGCCAGTCTGAATAGCCTAGGGCCCGGAGACTTCTTAACTCCGGCCCTGTCTACCACAACTACTCTCAAAACTTCCCACTCACTTAATATCCCCCAAAATCTCTCTCTCTCTCTCTCTCTATCTCTCTCTCTCTCTCTCTCTCTCTCTCTCTCTCTCTCTCTCTCTCTCTCTCTCTCTCTCTCTCTCTCTCTCTCTCTCTTTCTTTCTTTCTATCTCTCTCTCTCTCTCTCTATCTCTCTCTCTCTATCTATCTATTTATATATCTATCTACTCTATCTACTATCTATCTATTTACTCTCTCTCTCTCTCTCTCTCTCTCTCTCTATCTCTCATCTCTCTCTCTCCTCCTCTCTCTCTCTCTCTCTCTCTCTCTTCTCTCTTCTCTCTCTCTTCTACACTCCTCACTTCTCCAGGTATAACCCGCTTTTCGCATCCGACCCTTATTTTAATCCACATAATCCTTGAATTTATACATTTACATTCCCTCTTCTCCATCTGTAACTGTTCCTTCAACATTATTGCTGCCCCTTATTGTTCTTAAAGTGTTATTTGACTTCAAGAGTGCATCAGTCTGTAGTGGAAGGAAGGCGGGGTAGGGGTCGGCCTAGGAAAGGTTGGAGGGAGGGGATAAAGAAGTTTTGTGTGCGAGGGGCTTGGACTTCCAGCAGCATGCGTGAGCGTGTTTGATAGGAGTGAATGGAGACAAATAGTTTTAATACTTGACGTGCTGTTGGAGTGTGAGCAAAGTAACATTTATGAAGGGGTTCAGGGAAACCGGCAGGCCGGACTTGAGTCCTACCTGGAGGTTACCTGGAGGTTATTCCGGGGATCAACGCCCCCGCGGCCCGGTCCATGACCAGGCCTCCCGATGGATCAGGCCTGATCAACTAGGCTGTTACTGCTGGCCGCACGCAGTCCAACGTACGAGCCACAGCCCGGCTGATCCGGCACTGACTTTAGGTATCTGTCCAGCTCTCTCTTGAAGGCAGCCAGGGGTTTATTGGCAATTCCCTAATGCTGATGGGAGCATGTTAAACAGTTTTGGGCCCCGGACACTTATGGTGTTTTCCCTTAGTGTACCAATGGCGCCCCTACTTTTTATTGGGGCATTTTGCATCGCCTGCCCAGTCTTTTACTTTCGTAGTAGTGATTCTGTGGTGCAGATTTGGGACCATTCCTTCCAAGATTTTCCAAGTGTAGATTAGATATATCTCTCCCTCCTGCGTTCCAACGAGTACAAGTCAAGTGCTTCCAAGCGTTCCCAGTAGTTAAGGTGCTTGACAGAACTTATACGTGCAGTAAAGGATCTCTGTACACTCTCTAGATCTGCGATTTCACCTGCTTTGAATGGAGATGTTAATGTACAGCAGTATTCCAGCCTAGAGAGAACAAGTGATTTGAAAAGGATCATCATGGGCTTGGCATCTCTCGTTTTGAAAGTTCTCATTATCCATCCTATCATTTTCTTTGCACGTGCGATCGTGGCACTGTTGTGATCCTTGAAAGTGAGGATGGAGATGGGAAGTACAGTGCCTGCACTCTGAAGGAGGGGTGTTAATGTTGCAGTTTAAAAACTGTAGTGTAAAACACCCTTCTGGCAAGACAGTGATGGAGTGAATGATGGTGAAAGCTTTTCTTTTTCGGGCCACCCTGCCTTGGTGGGAATAGGCCAGTGTGATAATAAAAAAAATAATAATAAGTGTTATTTGACTGATATCCTATGTTAGGTGCAGCTTCCAAGAGATTTTGATGAGGGTATGGACCAAAGCTTCTTGGCCTTGTGTCTACGTTGAGGTACAGTGGGTTGGGATTAGGTAACACAGTTGTTATCTCTCTTGGATAACACAGCGACCAAAACACATCTACTAGTGAATAGCCAGAAAGATGGACGGGAGGCTCGAA